AGATGCTGCTTAAATTGTTGAAAGGTTATTATCTTAGAAAGCAAACCTGTTATGTAGAAAACAGCCAAAGTAGTGCATTTAAGTCTGTGATTACAGAAGTATGCTAATTAAGTATTTTATTGCATTTTTTTAATGTTTTGGTATTCTGCTACAGTCCATTATTGCACATAGGTAGAGACAGCGAGGTAAATAGGGGTCTCTGCAATTCTCAGCATAGGAGGTATCGTGCAGTGAAGAGAAGCAATGTTCCTTTTTTTTTTTCTTCAGTTCAAGCCCGCATCTAATGAAATCTCTCCATTTTCAAATCCTGCAAGCCTTTTTTTTGAAAGGAAAGCTTAAAAAGACAGAACAAGTCTCCTCTACATTTGGGAAAAAAAATAAAATCTGAGAAGCAAGCCAAGGCAACGAACACAATCTTCCAGACTAACCACATGGAAACCGATTATTCACTTGAGTGTAATTCAAGATACATATTCTAGTCTCAACTCTAAGGTTTGCAAACTTTAAGTACTTTAAATAATAACAACACATAATGTCCCTTCCTCAGTATCTTCCTACTTAGGTTAGCTAAAAGCATTGTGGAGTACCTGCAGCAAGAGGACTGTGCAGCTTTTCCCCATAATTTCAGTGTGCAGCTTAATTCACTGAGGGACAGCAGAGTTTGCAAATGTTTACACCATTACCCAATTAACTAACAATATGGCTCCTGCATCTGTCAACAAACAAAGCTGTTGTTGCTTTGTTTTAGCTCCTTGGCATTTTCTGTTCATATGGGTCGTCATTGTACTTAATTATCACACCATAACCCTTCTGCAGCTTCTACTTTGTTATTTGTGATTTGTAAATATGTTGTTTATGACAAAGAATAGAAGCCTTATTAGTGAACACACCTCCTACCAAAAAAAATGCTTTCTCTTGTAAATATATCAAAGACCTAAGATGCTTTGTAACTTACAGTATTTTAAAACAGATTTAGAAACCAAAGAATGATCTATAACACAGATCAAAGGACCCTGGAAGAACTGTAGCACACAAAGGTGTGTCCAGTGCAGAGTTCAATGAATTTTATGCACTTAAATACATTTACGTGGATTATTTCATAATGCAAAGTATTAAAATACCTTCATATTTAAATGTGCGTACCTTGTTTCATTACTATTAGGAAAAATACTGGAGTCCACTTCAGTGCTGACAATCCTTTCCTCTGATGTGATTGCACAATGCTTTTTTCAAAACAGCCCTGCACATTGTGTAAGTAACGTTGTCCAAAACCCCTATACCTTTATTTAGAAGATTTTTTTTGTACATTGCTTGCAATTACACAGGAAATAATTTAAGCATATGTTTAAATACTGAATCTGATTTGATCTTGTTGAACTCAATGAAATTACATAGATATCCATATGGTGAAATCAATGCTTTCTTGATTAAAAGTTGCAAAATTCACCAAATTAAGCATTCAGCACTTTCTACCAGTCACATACATGCATTGTAAGAGTCCACTCACATGTCACACGGTGATACCAACTGATGAGGTGAATGTACTTTTAAGACATATTTTAAGGTTTTTCCAAGGTAAGTACTTTATATTATCATAAAATGTAAACTGAAACCCCTTAAAAAGAGGCTCTAAGCTGTGCCACATTTACACAGGGTAAAAGGAGGGCACAGAGAGGAAGGACATAATGTTCAAGTGATAAGAGTGTAACTCAAGTGACAGCAATATGCAAGCTTATGATTTCTGTCGAGTCATATGCATGCACATTCAGGACTCTCCCAAAGCCACAACAGGTTGTGCCGTGGAGTTTTTAATCTTCAGGCAAATTACCTTCTGTGCACACCTTAACACTGCCCTCTCTTCAGGGAAGACTCTCTAGCAGCAACCTGAGCAGAGGACTGTAGCAGGACCTTATTTCTGTCATTGTGAGATCTTGCCACTGAGCTACGAAATGTTTCACTTCCACTGAAAGAGGTTTAAGTCTGTAAAAGACTTTTATTCAAGCTAGGGGTACAGTTTTACAGGAAATTATGCTTTGGCCCACTGGAGCTAAGACTTCATCTTTTGAAGAGCGTTGTTATACAACCAATGTTGGTTTTGTGCACAAGAAATGTATTATTTTAACAGGTATTTATTTGAATGAATTCTGTGGTAATTTCAACTAAGCACTAGCTAGTTGGTTTGAAATACTTCTGTAGCACTTAAATGATTTAAGACTTCACAGAACCAGAAGATGGTAACGTTCTCCTGTAAAAATGCAGTAGTTACTTACACTTTATTCTGTATAAATTTCTTGTTATTTTTTTAAATGGTCCAATAATGAAAATTAATAGTTTCAATAACATTTTACTACATTTTTATAGCAGTCTTTTTCCTTCTAGAGTAATTTTTGTATTATTTCTGTGTTCACCTTTGCTGACCTATCTGTTCTACTACACATTCACATCCTGAACAGCTGTACTTTTACCATTTCAAAGGTGCAGTTCCTTACCCTCCCTAACTCTGCACGTAAAAGATAAATACAAAAAAAATGGCTTAATGCCCAGGAAGGTAATTTAAAAATAAAGACTTGAATACACAATTATTATGACACTTACACAAGCAGTAAATATCCCACCCTTCACCTTTCTCTACACCCTAGGACAAGGATCTGATTCCTGAGTAGCACAGCCTCTATACCACTTACACACGCATGAATACATTTAATGAATCTAACAGACAAAGAGTTCTTTTACTCCCTTTCCTAATCCTCCTAAAGCATAAATGCAATAGAAATTACTTAAAGGCACACCTGGTAAAGTACCAGATCTGTATATTTTCAGAATGACACACAAACAAATACAGTGAATCCTTTCTACCTATTGGAATATCTATG